CCATTTTTATGAGAGGAGAGGTTGAGAAAACACTCCAGGTAAATTTTGAAATATACCAGGTTTTTAATAAACCTGGTATATTTCTAAATTTACCTGGAGTGTTTTCTCAACCTTATATATATATATATAATAATTGATAAGCAGTTAAATGTGTTGGTTTACACACAAAGAAATGTGTAAGCTTTTAATAAGTCCAAGAATAAAATGATTAATTTACTTAACATGTTAAATTAGATTTACAGAACATTTTGTGCTGTTTTCTATCAGTTTAGACTTGAATAAAGAGAGAAAACTTGCACTTAAACTTTTCACAGGCATTTTGTTTTCATAGTTAGACAGATATCGTGATGTATCGTTATAGGATTGTCTAACAATATATCGATTATCGTAGAATCGCTATATTTGTGATATTATAGTATCGTGATTCATATCGTATCGTGAGGTACCCTGCGATTCCCACCCCTAAACAGGAACACAATTAAAGTAGACAGAACTGTTGTTAACTCACATTTTTTGGACAAAAAAGGGAATAGTGTTTACTGAAATTACTTTAAAAACACACTAAAACAAGGTCAAATGGTTTTAAAACATTCAACTTTAAGCCATAGTTACCCAAAAAAAAATTTTCAAGGACATTACAAAGAGATCACCATCAGTTCTCTCTAAAGAAAACCCCTTGTTGCTCTTTCCAGTAGCCTCTATTTGGCTGCCTGTCACAACTGAAAGTAAGCAAGGGGTCCAAGTGTTACATTTCAATGGCTCCCCGGAGGCCCACTATGTAGGGAACACAATGCTGTGAGTATGAACAACTACTGACTGAGTCACTAGCAAGGAATTTCACAGATCTGTTGTAAGCAGATACACTGGTCTATCCTCTCGGTTTGTAATGCACAAACCCGGCTTAATCAATGTTCAACTAAAAGCAGTGTAATATAATAAGTTCTCAGAATTTAATGACTTCAAAGACTACTAATACATTAGTCTTCGCTGATCTATGTATCTCATATTTGCAAAAGAAAACGTGTGTTAGTAGATGCTCCTGTGGGGAATATGGCGAAGTCTACATTCTTCTAAGAGCAATCTGTCGAGGCATGGATTCTTGTTTTAACATGAGATCAAGCTACAAATTAGACCAACTGCCAAAACTCCTTAAGAACTAGTAGGCCGATAATTGAGTGCAAAGAATACTCTAGAAACCGCCTACAATCAGCCAACAACTCAATTCAAACAAGATTGAGCAACAAGAACTTCAATCAGACAGAAAAACTGCATGTAAATATAAGATGATATCTCACAATAAACATGAGCTCCATAACAAGACAGACTAAGGCTTAACCATTTGGTAAGATAGTTATTTGGTTAACAACAACTGGTACAATTATCTTATTAGCATTAGAGCTGTTCTTATACACAATTCCTTTATTCATATAATAACTAAAATGGAAGTACACAAAATTGTGGGATCTGATGGTCTTGTATCTCTGGACATCTGGCCTCTTTTGGCAGTGCTATATGCATTACTAAATGGACATCTAGACCACCAAACTAAGTATGCCCTTTATTTCCGCTCTTTAAAATGGACTAGTGCCAAAGGAAATGCAGCAAGCAAATTGGCACACCAGGATATGTCAGGTGCCACTAAGTCACTGGTTGCCATCTAACAGTTGGAACAGCATTAGCTTCCAGCTTCTACTGCATTATACAAATCACTGTTTATAATACTCAACCAGATTCTTATACGAATAGAAACTTAGAACCCAACTGAACACCAGACAATGCAATTTTTGTTTTCGAGAGCAAAGAAAACACCAGTGGACTCACCTTTTCGCTTTTCACTTTTTTCATGGTCCTGCCGTCATTATTTTCCACTTCTTCTGGTTCACTCTTGATAGCCAAAGGTGTGACTATTCCAGTGGTATCGAGGGTAATATTCCCTAGTTGCTCAGCACCAACAAGGTCCAAATGTTGCGTCCCCTCAAACGGGGTATTGCGTGCCTGGCCTAAAGGCATAACCTGTGCCGATGGGTCCTTTTCCGAGGGCATGTTCCCAGCTTGTACCCCTTCGTTTTTCTCCTTCTTGCTTTTCCCAGAACCCTCCTTGTCCTTTTTTCCACTCTGAACATTACGGGAGGCTTTGTTACTTTTATCGGAACCTTTCCCGGAAGGTAAAGCTGTGGAACCGCTTCCCACGGTTGGCCCAGTGCCCTCATTTTGGGTCCGTCCCTGGGCATCCTTTTTGGCCCCGTCAGGGGTCGAGGACTTGCTACTGTCCTTGGAATTCTTGCTACGCTTAGCTTTGGATTTGCTGTCTTTGATCGGCGGAGGAGGCACCGGGTTAATGAACTTTATGTTGTCTGGCAATGCAGCTACGGCGCTTGAGGCAGCAGCCATTCCATCCCCATCCTTAGTGCCAGACATCTCAAGCTTGTCTTTTTCCAAGTCGGCGTCGAGGTCAATGATCAGGTTGCCTACACCAATATCCCACTCATCTCCGCTGTCATAAGTGTCCACCGCATTTGAGTCCACACCTTTCCCGCCTGCAGTGTCACTACTGAGGGACATCTTAGTGCCAGCGGCCCAAGTGTGCCACAGGGAGGTCTGACCTTCTCAGACGACTGAGGCAGTCGGGAAGCACATTTACACAAGCCTCAGGGTCCTGTTGGTTTCCCCTTCCCAGTAACCCACATTGTTGCCCTGGAGGGGTAAAAACAACAAGAAAATGTAAGAAATTAGAAAATGTAGTAAAATACATTGCTTTAAGACCACCTGACAAGCACACTGCTCTTAGAAAAACCGGTTTAGAAATGCTGACTTTCATTTTCTGTTCTCAAAATGAATGTTTCAATAACATCAGAAACCTGTGAAGGCCCTAGATTTAAAAGGTTTTGCAAGCTGTTCCCCTGCACATGAATTACAAATACATGGCGAGTAATCTTTTTAGACTAGAAAAATCATTTTAGATGACTCGGGACAAAAAAATACAGCTGAATCTTGGTCACCATCCGTTCACAGCCAGAAAACAGACGTTGTATCACAACACACATGGAAACACTTGACAGACTGACATCAAAGCTCAACGAATGACTGCAGGAATCATAATGACTCAAACATGCCACTCGCTTTGAGACAAAACAGCATTGCTATTCATTTCCATACAAGTGAACATTAAAGATATTAAATGTGCAGTAGGAGATCTTGGAAAATGCTAACTTTAGCCTGATAGCACTGAAAAGGAACGTCCCACCTTCCCTGCAATCGCCGTCAAAGGGCACGCCCCCTGAACGCATTTACACTCACAGACAAGAACACCAGAGACAACATTACAATAGGCTACATCAGCGGTTCCCAATTCCAATCCTCGCACCCTCCTGCTCTGCACATTTCATATGCATCTCTTATCACGTGCAACGTTTGTTCTATTCGACCATGAGTGCCCTGGGAAGTGTACATCACTGGATATTCCGCCATGATTCTAGTTTGAAGCGAGCGTATATGTTCCATACAAAGGGCATTAAAGTGTGCGAGATGTGAATTTAAATAGTATTTATTTGCAGAGGTATATTATGTCACACTTCTCTAGTAAGTTTCGTCTGTGTGTGAAGATGCTGCGCAGCGCAAATCCATGAATGAATGTTCCGAAGTGAAGTAAACGTCAACTGATTTCCCCTGCTTCCCTTGCGCGAGGACTGGAATTGGGAACCACTGGGCTACATCATGTGTCATTCACCAGTGTGAAGACTTTATAGTACAGTTAGTAAAAGTACTACAATACCACGAAGGAAGATCGGCTTGTTGATGTTTGTCTGCCATTCTCGCTCTGTCTGCACAGCGTGCGTACTTTGCAAGACAATCATCTCACGCGGTCATCATGCAAACAACTCAGAATCTCAGTTTGAAAAGAAATATAAGAAAATAAACATAAAAGATAAACTCATTAGTCAACTAATGTTGCTGGATGACAACTTAACTACTCCGTCTGTAGGCTTATCACTAAAGCTTAACCACAGTGTCAGAATATTACAGACAAATATTCAAAACATTTAAACGTCAGATGTCCATCCCAGTACAAAAGATTTGATCCGAAGCCAAAGGATCTTAAATCAATTTAAAAAAAACATGCACATGATGCTGCAAATAGTCTTGCAAAAAAAGCTAAACAAATCACCAAATTTTCAGTTAATTTCTTGTACAATTGTAATTTACAAAATTAAAGCAACTTCTTGTACATGATTTGTTGTAAATGCTGTTTTGATGGCTGTAGCGAAACAGTGCCTTAAAGATGAACTTCAAAGATGCAATCTCAGACAGGACTTTAGTGTTGTTGTACACTGTCAGCATGCTAAACTATCTCAATTAATCATCTTTAAACAAGAAAAAAGTAAACTCATTTAACTAGTTGTTGAACACTTGATGCTGGTAAACTTTTAAGCAACTGGTCTGGATGGCTGACTAGTCAAGTTTGCATAAATATTCAAAACGTGGTAAACATCAGATGTTCATCAAAATTCAGTTAACAAATGACTCACTACTTCACTATAATCACTTTCCACGGACATGAATTACACAATCAACACTTTCCAAATGTCACTGATCTTTGGGACCTTTACATAGAAACAGAAATCTTTTTTTAATGCCAAAGATGCTTAAAATCTGTTTTTCATTAGAGATTCTTAAGAACACCAAACAACCCATCAACAAACACAGATAACTAGTTCTGCTAAAAAGTTCTACATTATTCATTTAGTCTGAAACAGAAATAGAACAGACAGACACAGATTAAAGGTCAAAGTCATTGCCCATAATACTCAAAAGAGGTCACATAAAAGACTGAACGAAGCACAAACTGGTTTAACTGCACTACTACAGTTTGGCGGTTGTCTAATAAAACTAAGCGCTACTTCAATTGAAAAGGATGAGTCCAGCTTTGAGCTGCATCTTAAATAGCCGAGGAGAAAGATGGTTGAATGAGAGGACACTAATCAGTGGTTTGCTGAAATCCGTCAGTCCACCAGGGAACATGGAGTGTGTCCTGCAGGAAGCTTTCCAAACGTCTGCCGTTGGAACCCAAGACAAGAACAAGACAGACTAAGGCTTAACCATTTGGTAAGATAGTTATTTGGTTAACAACAACTGGTACAATTATCTTATTAGCATTAGAGCTGTTCTTATACACAATTCCTTTATTCATATAATAACTAAAATGGAAGTACACAAAATTGTGGGATCTGATGGTCTTGTATCTCTGGACATCTGGCCTCTTTTGGCAGTGCTATATGCATTACTAAATGGACATCTAGACCACCAAACTAAGTATGCCCTTTATTTCCGCTCTTTAAAATGGACTAGTGCCAAAGGAAATGCAGCAAGCAAATTGGCACACCAGGATATGTCAGGTGCCACTAAGTCACTGGTTGCCATCTAACAGTTGGAACAGCATTAGCTTCCAGCTTCTACTGCATTATACAAATCACTGTTTATAATACTCAACCAGATTCTTATACGAATAGAAACTTAGAACCCAACTGAACACCAGACAATGCAATTTTTGTTTTCGAGAGCAAAGAAAACACCAGTGGACTCACCTTTTCGCTTTTCACTTTTTTCATGGTCCTGCCGTCATTATTTTCCACTTCTTCTGGTTCACTCTTGATAGCCAAAGGTGTGACTATTCCAGTGGTATCGAGGGTAATATTCCCTAGTTGCTCAGCACCAACAAGGTCCAAATGTTGCGTCCCCTCAAACGGGGTATTGCGTGCCTGGCCTAAAGGCATAACCTGTGCCGATGGGTCCTTTTCCGAGGGCATGTTCCCAGCTTGTACCCCTTCGTTTTTCTCCTTCTTGCTTTTCCCAGAACCCTCCTTGTCCTTTTTTCCACTCTGAACATTACGGGAGGCTTTGTTACTTTTATCGGAACCTTTCCCGGAAGGTAAAGCTGTGGAACCGCTTCCCACGGTTGGCCCAGTGCCCTCATTTTGGGTCCGTCCCTGGGCATCCTTTTTGGCCCCGTCAGGGGTCGAGGACTTGCTACTGTCCTTGGAATTCTTGCTACGCTTAGCTTTGGATTTGCTGTCTTTGATCGGCGGAGGAGGCACCGGGTTAATGAACTTTATGTTGTCTGGCAATGCAGCTACGGCGCTTGAGGCAGCAGCCATTCCATCCCCATCCTTAGTGCCAGACATCTCAAGCTTGTCTTTTTCCAAGTCGGCGTCGAGGTCAATGATCAGGTTGCCTACACCAATATCCCACTCATCTCCGCTGTCATAAGTGTCCACCGCATTTGAGTCCACACCTTTCCCGCCTGCAGTGTCACTACTGAGGGACATCTTAGTGCCAGCGGCCCAAGTGTGCCACAGGGAGGTCTGACCTTCTCAGACGACTGAGGCAGTCGGGAAGCACATTTACACAAGCCTCAGGGTCCTGTTGGTTTCCCCTTCCCAGTAACCCACATTGTTGCCCTGGAGGGGTAAAAACAACAAGAAAATGTAAGAAATTAGAAAATGTAGTAAAATACATTGCTTTAAGACCACCTGACAAGCACACTGCTCTTAGAAAAACCGGTTTAGAAATGCTGACTTTCATTTTCTGTTCTCAAAATGAATGTTTCAATAACATCAGAAACCTGTGAAGGCCCTAGATTTAAAAGGTTTTGCAAGCTGTTCCCCTGCACATGAATTACAAATACATGGCGAGTAATCTTTTTAGACTAGAAAAATCATTTTAGATGACTCGGGACAAAAAAATACAGCTGAATCTTGGTCACCATCCGTTCACAGCCAGAAAACAGACGTTGTATCACAACACACATGGAAACACTTGACAGACTGACATCAAAGCTCAACGAATGACTGCAGGAATCATAATGACTCAAACATGCCACTCGCTTTGAGACAAAACAGCATTGCTATTCATTTCCATACAAGTGAACATTAAAGATATTAAATGTGCAGTAGGAGATCTTGGAAAATGCTAACTTTAGCCTGATAGCACTGAAAAGGAACGTCCCACCTTCCCTGCAATCGCCGTCAAAGGGCACGCCCCCTGAACGCATTTACACTCACAGACAAGAACACCAGAGACAACATTACAATAGGCTACATCAGCGGTTCCCAATTCCAATCCTCGCACCCTCCTGCTCTGCACATTTCATATGCATCTCTTATCACGTGCAACGTTTGTTCTATTCGACCATGAGTGCCCTGGGAAGTGTACATCACTGGATATTCCGCCATGATTCTAGTTTGAAGCGAGCGTATATGTTCCATACAAAGGGCATTAAAGTGTGCGAGATGTGAATTTAAATAGTATTTATTTGCAGAGGTATATTATGTCACACTTCTCTAGTAAGTTTCGTCTGTGTGTGAAGATGCTGCGCAGCGCAAATCCATGAATGAATGTTCCGAAGTGAAGTAAACGTCAACTGATTTCCCCTGCTTCCCTTGCGCGAGGACTGGAATTGGGAACCACTGGGCTACATCATGTGTCATTCACCAGTGTGAAGACTTTATAGTACAGTTAGTAAAAGTACTACAATACCACGAAGGAATTCCAATCCTCGCACCCTCCTGCTCTGCACATTTCATATGCATCTCTTATCACGTGCAACGTTTGTTCTATTCGACCATGAGTGCCCTGGGAAGTGTACATCACTGGATATTCCGCCATGATTCTAGTTTGAAGCGAGCGTATATGTTCCATACAAAGGGCATTAAAGTGTGCGAGATGTGAATTTAAATAGTATTTATTTGCAGAGGTATATTATGTCACACTTCTCTAGTAAGTTTCGTCTGTGTGTGAAGATGCTGCGCAGCGCAAATCCATGAATGAATGTTCCGAAGTGAAGTAAACGTCAACTGATTTCCCCTGCTTCCCTTGCGCGAGGACTGGAATTGGGAACCACTGGGCTACATCATGTGTCATTCACCAGTGTGAAGACTTTATAGTACAGTTAGTAAAAGTACTACAATACCACGAAGGAAGATCGGCTTGTTGATGTTTGTCTGCCATTCTCGCTCTGTCTGCACAGCGTGCGTACTTTGCAAGACAATCATCTCACGCGGTCATCATGCAAACAACTCAGAATCTCAGTTTGAAAAGAAATATAAGAAAATAAACATAAAAGATAAACTCATTAGTCAACTAATGTTGCTGGATGACAACTTAACTACTCCGTCTGTAGGCTTATCACTAAAGCTTAACCACAGTGTCAGAATATTACAGACAAATACATTTAAACTCCATCCCAGTACAAAAGATTTGATCCGAAGCCAAAGGATCTTAAATCAATTTAAAAAAAACATGCACATATGCACATGAATAGTCTTGCAAAAAAAGCTAAACAAATCACCAAATTTTCAGTTAATTTCTTGTACAATTGTAATTTACAAAATTAAAGCAACTTCTTGTACATGATTTGTTGTAAATGCTGTTTTGATGGCTGTAGCGAAACAGTGCCTTAAAGATGAACTTCAAAGATGCAATCTCAGACAGGACTTTAGTGTTGTTGTACACTGTCAGCATGCTAAACTATCTCAATTAATCATCTTTAAACAAGAAAAAAGTAAACTCATTTAACTAGTTGTTGAACACTTGATGCTGGTAAACTTTTAAGCAACTGGTCTGGATGGCTGACTAGTCAAGTTTGCATAAATATTCAAAACGTGGTAAACATCAGATGTTCATCAAAATTCAGTTAACAAATGACTCACTACTTCACTATAATCACTTTCCACGGACATGAATTACACAATCAACACTTTCCAAATGTCACTGATCTTTGGGACCTTTACATAGAAACAGAAATCTTTTTTTAATGCCAAAGATGCTTAAAATCTGTTTTTCATTAGAGATTCTTAAGAACACCAAACAACCCATCAACAAACACAGATAACTAGTTCTGCTAAAAAGTTCTACATTATTCATTTAGTCTGAAACAGAAATAGAACAGACAGACACAGATTAAAGGAATCGCCGTCAAAGGGCACGCCCCCTGAACGCATTTACACTCACAGACAAGAACACCAGAGACAACATTACAATAGGCTACATCAGCGGTTCCCAATTCCAATCCTCGCACCCTCCTGCTCTGCACATTTCATATGCATCTCTTATCACGTGCAACGTTTGTTCTATTCGACCATGAGTGCCCTGGGAAGTGTACATCACTGGATATTCCGCCATGATTCTAGTTTGAAGCGAGCGTATATGTTCCATACAAAGGGCATTAAAGTGTGCGAGATGTGAATTTAAATAGTATTTATTTGCAGAGGTATATTATGTCACACTTCTCTAGTAAGTTTCGTCTGTGTGTGAAGATGCTGCGCAGCGCAAATCCATGAATGAATGTTCCGAAGTGAAGTAAACGTCAACTGATTTCCCCTGCTTCCCTTGCGCGAGGACTGGAATTGGGAACCACTGGGCTACATCATGTGTCATTCACCAGTGTGAAGACTTTATAGTACAGTTAGTAAAAGTACTACAATACCACGAAGGAAGATCGGCTTGTTGATGTTTGTCTGCCATTCTCGCTCTGTCTGCACAGCGTGCGTACTTTGCAAGACAATCATCTCACGCGGTCATCATGCAAACAACTCAGAATCTCAGTTTGAAAAGAAATATAAGAAAATAAACATAAAAGATAAACTCATTAGTCAACTAATGTTGCTGGATGACAACTTAACTACTCCGTCTGTAGGCTTATCACTAAAGCTTAACCACAGTGTCAGAATATTACAGACAAATATTCAAAACATTTAAACGTCAGATGTCCATCCCAGTACAAAAGATTTGATCCGAAGCCAAAGGATCTTAAATCAATTTAAAAAAAACATGCACATGATGCTGCAAATAGTCTTGCAAAAAAAGCTAAACAAATCACCAAATTTTCAGTTAATTTCTTGTACAATTGTAATTTACAAAATTAAAGCAACTTCTTGTACATGATTTGTTGTAAATGCTGTTTTGATGGCTGTAGCGAAACAGTGCCTTAAAGATGAACTTCAAAGATGCAATCTCAGACAGGACTTTAGTGTTGTTGTACACTGTCAGCATGCTAAACTATCTCAATTAATCATCTTTAAACAAGAAAAAAGTAAACTCATTTAACTAGTTGTTGAACACTTGATGCTGGTAAACTTTTAAGCAACTGGTCTGGATGGCTGACTAGTCAAGTTTGCATAAATATTCAAAACGTGGTAAACATCAGATGTTCATCAAAATTCAGTTAACAAATGACTCACTACTTCACTATAATCACTTTCCACGGACATGAATTACACAATCAACACTTTCCAAATGTCACTGATCTTTGGGACCTTTACATAGAAACAGAAATCTTTTTTTAATGCCAAAGATGCTTAAAATCTGTTTTTCATTAGAGATTCTTAAGAACACCAAACAACCCATCAACAAACACAGATAACTAGTTCTGCTAAAAAGTTCTACATTATTCATTTAGTCTGAAACAGAAATAGAACAGACAGACACAGATTAAAGGTCAAAGTCATTGCCCATAATACTCAAAAGAGGTCACATAAAAGACTGAACGAAGCACAAACTGGTTTAACTGCACTACTACAGTTTGGCGGTTGTCTAATAAAACTAAGCGCTACTTCAATTGAAAAGGATGAGTCCAGCTTTGAGCTGCATCTTAAATAGCCGAGGAGAAAGATGGTTGAATGAGAGGACACTAATCAGTGGTTTGCTGAAATCCGTCAGTCCACCAGGGAACATGGAGTGTGTCCTGCAGGAAGCTTTCCAAACGTCTGCCGTTGGAACCCAAGACAAGATGGACTTCCACTATCACAGTCATTCATCATTCCCCTGCTTTTCTAGGCACTTTCAAGAGCTTTGAGAGTAGAACTTCAAAAGATGCCACTTTTAAAAGCGATGAATGCAAACAACAATGAAATGCCACTAGGGCTGTGACGGTGGCAGATTTTTCCCTCCGCGGTGGTAATGGATCAACTACAACTAATAATTTTGTAAATAATAATTTTGTAAATTGTAAATAATAATTAACAAAAGTGTGTGTTTATTTTAGCACTTCCGTGATGTGAACAGGCAGTCTGCAAAACACTCATCAAATATCAAAGAAATAATACAGTTAAATAAGAAAGTAGCCTAAATAATAAAGTTACACCCTGTCTACCGGACGCGAGTGGTGCGGCGCAACAAAATACTATAGAGCTTATTATAATCAGTGATGCTGTCTACACTGGATGCGGCACGACACGACATGACAAATCCCCGACAGTAAATTGCCTCGTCCTATTTATGAGGTACTGACACAAAGTTCAAATGTCCGCAGTTGTCACGGCGACCGTCACAGCCCTAAATGCCACAACACAATATCAATGTTATCTTAAATTATTTCTGAGCTACCATAACAGCATTTCACTTCATTAAAGGTAGTGATACTTGATGTTTAAATTAATGGTTCAACCGATACATCGACCTT